ATAATAGAACATATTATTGCATTAAAAGTTATTAATAATAGTTGTGACACTTTATTTGCACTTAATCTTGAGCGCTTTTCATAAATTGACCATGCCTTCTTTAGAAAATATCCGCTCACCATCTGGGTTAACAATTGCCTCAAATGAAAATCACTAAACAAGTAGGTAGTAATATTTTACCAGTTCGGAGCTTTGAATCGTGCAATACAATGCAAATGGACATCACCTGGGCAGCATCTGTACTACAGTCGGAGAGTAGAGTAGACGACATATGGATTCGGTACCGGGATTCTATCGATACGATTTAATTTAATTTAATCTTTTTTTGATACGAATGTGCGTCCACAAACAATCAGGCGATTTAAAATAGGTCCAACAGTTTTTCAAAAACTTTATTGTAGTGGATCTTAGGCACAATTTTGTGGCACAACATCGAGTGTTAGTTCTTAAAACAATATTTAACAGTACACGGCATAACAGTAACAGTAACAGTCATTTTCAAAAGTTTGTAATACATTTTTCTGCAAATTTATGGACGATCCGCATTTTTTGCACTTAAACTGCTTTAGTGTGTCTAATTGTGGGTGTACTTTAATTGGAAATTGAAAAGAAGGTGAAACTCGAACAGGCATTTAGTACATGAGCACCCTTAACCTAGAATTTACAATATCTGCAGCTTCTCCCTTGTTAATTTGTTATCAGCATTATAAAATAAACTGCACCGAACACAATAATATCACACTCAATAATTGATATATCAAAATCACTGTCAGTTTAATAACGCAATGTGTATTTGAAAAATTTATCCGATCTACAGATGCACTCGCACTAAGGAAAAAATGTCGAATTCAAGTGCATATGTGCGTCTCAAGCCTCAGGCGCGAAGAGGCCGGAGTGGGAGCCGCCGTTACTACTCGCCGTGACCGAGAAAAATCGGATCACCCTCCCATAAAAAGTTATCACTTCAAAAATTAGAAACTCATACAGGATCTAAGCGATGGTGGCGAAAATATGAGCTTAACGAACGGTTGCTCCCCTTTACAATATTGCTTAGGAATTTTTGGCATCCAGGAATAACACACACACACACACACATACACTGAAGGAATTGAAACTGCCAGCAAATCAAATGAATAATTTAAATATGAACATGGAACAGACTGAACCAGCAATTTATAACTCCATTCGCGAATTTGTCGCTAAGATTCATTACAATCGAGATTTTCGTAAAAGTTTGGATTTTTTAAATACTTTTTATATGCATTTATAGTTATTTTACTTTGACTTAATTTAGTGTTGAGACATTGGGTGATCGTATCGTTTGAGTCTCTCCGAATTTTTAGTTTAATCTGGCCAGCAGCAAAAAAATCCTTGATTGTCCATAAATTAAGCCAACAAACACTCACAAAGTTTGAGGAAAATCATCATGTTTCGGCTATATTTCGAGCGGTGTTGCCAAACTGCGCAAGACGTTTTAAGTTAATGAAAATTGTTTCCTTGGATACCCAGCATGTAGTTTCATTCAATGTGGTCGGTTTAGATTATTTAGATCTCTTCAGGTTTCTTATTTATACTTTTTGTATATTTCTTTGAGTTTCTTTTAAAAAATCACTTCACCATGCTCACACAAACAAACTGAATCAAAATTAACCGAAAGAAAACAACGCAAAAATACATGGCAACACCGCACTGTGTTGAATTCCCGAAAGAAACAATTAATTTGCCATCTGACTATCGACGCGCTAGATAACCACAATCAGGATTTAACAGCAAATAGCACCGGACAATCTCATTGTCGAGCATAAATAAGTGGTTTTGGAAAAGCGAATTTCAATAGTTTTTTATCTGAATTTATGAACCATCCAGGAATTTTCTTCGCTGAAAGTGCTTAATTTGAAGTGTCATTTATAAGGATAAAAAAAACTAAAAATTCATAGTCACAATCACCCTCAGATGGTAGTTAGTCCCATTGTAGCACTTTTATTTGAAAATTTAAAAATGCCTTTTTCGACGAGTTAGAATATATGCGGAAAATATGCTGGACAAATCAATGAAAAACAGACTGCGACAGGCCTCAATGAAGAGACACTGGCTGGAAACGGTCATTTATGTTTTAACCATGTTGCCACGTTTACCTGTCTGTTTTTCTTAGGCGCATTTAATTTGTATTTGCCTGTATTAGTTTGGGTTAGTGTCTTATTAGCAACTTCACCTTTGGAGGCCTCTGAAAAATCTGCCTAAGTTCGCATGTCTGTGAAATTCTGTCCGTGTAACAGAGTTTCAACTTTCTAAGCTGCTGTGTGTCTGGACAGGTGGAGCTTCTCTTGGTAGACTTGCGCGATTTTACTCTCGTCCTTTCCGCAAGCTCAACTTTGCGTGTTTTTGAAAAATTATTCCCAACTGTTAGGTTTGTTTTGCAGTATCTGTTTTGCGTAGATGTACTATTTTGGTGGAGGTTTGGCAACACGGGCACTTGGTAAAAGCGCCTGATCTTAAGAATTACCTTAAAGGGTAACTATCCCTTTAAGGACTAAAAGGAAAATTAAAAATAAAGCGAAACTGAGCGAAATGTAAAGTACATGAACACCAACTAGTCACTTATCACCAGCCAAATCATAATTTTTGTTTATAAAATTCATTTAACAGTATTAAATTTTATTAAAAGGAAAATCAGTATAGGAAAAAAATTCGGTACGCCCTTGAGGCCAATCCTGTCTAGTGACCTTCGGGGTCGATGCTCAATAACTGGCCCACAATGAAAAAGAGAGAGACAAGTATATCCCAATACTGCAAAAGTAAGCGTTTCTTTGTTGTGCTTGTGAATCGGCGCCCTAGAAATCAAAATGTGACTGAATGTCTCGATCAGCTGTTTCATTTTCTCCTTCTGTCAAAGTACATGAACCAAGTAAACATTGTCCACTAAACAGATACAATTCAAATTCGCCGTGGTTTTGATATTCACATCACATGTGAATTAACGAACCAATTAAGTCGACCATAAAGGTGGCCAATGCGCTAAAGGCCGCGGTTTAAATCATTATGGTGCATATAAAGAACAACATATTCAAATGATGAAGATTTCCAAGACTGCTGTGGGCGCATTCATTTCGATGATGCTGTTGGGGACTCTGCTGGCAGGGCTGATCAGCTTGATCAGCACTCAGCAAACAGATCTCAATGCAAACAATCAAAGCAGGAGCAGAATCCACAATATTGCTGATCGATTTGATAACCTGATTTGGTTCTTGCAGGTAAGTGAGTTTGTATTATTTACCACGATTGGGGTTCATTGCATTGAGACATGCCTGATGGAAAAAAACCCTATAGATTATTCCCCACAGACATGCGGTGTTGGGAAAGGGGGAAATCCTTGATTACTGATTCATACTTTTCTTTGGAAATATTTTCCTTTTCATAGTGTTTGTGACTGTCTACACTTCTTGGTCTTCGGCACTGGCAAGCTGTCTTCCGGAGAGTCTGCTTAACACTCTTCCACACTATAATCACAACTTCTTCTTAATGTGCCATATCTATCAGTGGAGGTAGGATGTCACAGTAGCAAATTCTTCTCGGTCTTCGGCTGCTCTTATAAGTTCTTCAAAGTCCAGGCCAGTATTAGTTTCTTAGCCATGACATTTTCTTTCTTCCGAGTCGTTTGCCCTTGATTTTTTCCCATAACAATAAGTTGTGCGTAGCGGTATTTAGGGTTTCTCAGAATGTGTCCCACATACATACAAAACAGATCACGCTCTATCCCCTGCCTGCGTAGGACCTCTTTATTTGTGGTGTGAAATGCCCATGTTATTTTGAGCATTCTACGATAAGTCCACATCTCGAAGGCTTCTAATTTATTGATGGTTTGTACTTTAAGTGTCCGTGTTTTGGCTCCATATAAGAGGGTAGACCAGCCCCAGGTTGAGTCGTGAGTCGCAGAGCAGCGTTTTAAGTCGCATTAAGCAATTTCTGGCTTGTTCTATTCTACATCGTATTTCCGCGTCCGGATCGAACTTGCAGTCCATCCAACATCCCAAAAATGGGCATCTATTCACCTGTTCCAGGACCACGCCGTTTAACAGTATGGGTAGTGAGACATTCTTAGATCTTTCGATGGTCATAAACTTGGTTTTCTTTATGTTTATCTTCATGCCAGATGCTTCGCAAGCCGTGTGAACACCATAGAGGAGTTGTAGGTCCAGATCCGCAGCTACGATCAATACAGTATCGTCGGCGTATTTGATGCTGTTGATGTTCACACCGTTAACCTTACTTCCGTTTGGAGAGTCTGCAGGAGCTCTGCCAAATGTTAGTTCCGAATAAATATTGAACAGCAGTGGTGACAAAACGCAACCCTGTCTGCCTCCCTGTGGATCTCGATCTGCTCAGACCTCGTCTCCTCAATTTTGATTCTGGCGTTCCGATTCTAGTACAAATTCTGCAACAGTGTGGTGTCCTCGTCCAGACCCATGTCGAGAAGACAGTCCATCAACAGGTCATGATTCACTCTATCAAATGCTTTCTCAAAGTCTCTTATGTTTGGTGGCAAATCCGGGGTGCCTGAATTTAGTCCCTCACAAGACAATATCATAGTGAATACTAAATACATACAAATCGTGCAATAAATGTACATCTAAGTTGCATGTGATCTGTGTTGGTGTTGTGGACATTTGAATGAGGGTTCTGTCTAAGAATGGGAACTTCTGCGTTTGCAGAGTCGACATTCAATTGATGTTTGATGAACGGTAGCAACATGAAGGTTTGGTCTTAGATAGACACACTGAGTTGCTCAACAAAATCATAAAACACTGGCAAGATAATATGGTTTTCTAGGAGAAAGCAAACTTACCTATAATCTTTTGGCTGGAAATCAGACAGCGTCGATATCCAATAACCGGAAATACCACAAATAACACGTGGAGATAGTCAGGTTCAGGTACTGACTATCGCAGCGATTTTGCCTTTCCCGGACAAATCTACACCCCGTTCGTTCCTCATCTGATAGATGAATGGTTTTCCTCTAGCCGTTTTGGATCGGAGGACCATTTTCATTTTGTGTTCTTTGAGAAAATTTGTTTGATTTTACCATCTACCATCAGACAGCATCCACACGCAGAGTATGTGTCGGTGATGCAGAAAATTCGTGTTTTTCTCCCTTTTTGTTCCTCAAACTTAGTCCTAGTAGTAGTAGTTCTAATCCTTTCAATGTTGTAGAAATCTCGAATCATCCAAGACTGGCACTTAACATACTCAGGCTATTTTCTCCTTATGGTGCGGTTTCACTGAATGCAGTTTAAGGATCTCAAATCAATAGACATGAATTTAGATTTCAGATATCCACATTAGTATATTTAGAGACCCCTCGAGAATAGCACAATTTAAGGAGTTTTGCCATTACACAATAGATCGCATCACCCCTAAAGTAGTACTGGCCACTGGCGACTTGACTGATGCCAAAACGAAAGACGCCATCGGTTCCCAACAATATGAATCCGAGTGGCGACATTATCGAGATATTTTGCGTGAGTTTGATATTACTAGCAAGACTGTTTGGCTGGATATACGCGGAAACCATGGTAGGTTGCCCTCCGTTTCCATATTTGGCCGCCCATTTTTCATAGTCCAGGTGCTTTTCAGACAATTTTAACGTCATCAGTGTAAAGTCCAAACATAACTACTTCACCAATTACTCGGTGCAAGGCCGTGAACATCCTCGCTCCTATATGGCCCAGGTGAAGAAAGGGAATACCATTTATTCCTTTGTGGGTGTGGATGCCTGTCTGGAGCCAGGTAATAAGCGATTTACGCTCACCAATATATTTGGCTTCAACTTGAGGAATTTCCAGGCCCTAGGAGGCCTTTTAACTTCGTGGGAGTTCTGGATGAGCCAGAAGTGATTGAGATTAATAATCTGATAAAGGAAATCGAAAGAACAGGTACCAATAGATGGGATGGGAATAACGGCTATATTTTTGGTGCGCTATTTTAGAAGCTATCTTTATATCGTTAGAAATCTCGCTAGAATACTTGCTTAAAGGCACCCGCAGACCGACAATTTAGTCGCCAAGACCCGGCGACGTTGGTGCGTCTTTTGAAGCGTCAAAAGTGTCACCATGCCGTTTAGGTACAAGCCAAATTAAGTATACAAATTCATCTGAGGATACCACACTTTTGTCGCCCTGTGAGTTCGATACAGAACGACAATCTTTTAGACGCTTCGTCTAACCTTGAGAATAGAACTAGTTCCACCTTCGGCGACCGCAGTCGCTTGGGTGCGCGACAGTATTTCAAATAACGAGTTCCATTTTCGGCGTCAAATCTGTCGCGCAACAAGCATGTCGCTCGTGTGCGGGTGCCCTAAGGGTACGTGCATTCGTGAGTTCAAATACCGATGGGGGCGCTGCGAAACGTCAAATCACTCGTTACCGAGTGACAGTTGAGACTTGTCAGACTTGTCTATCTGTTGAAGTTGGTAAACAAGCGAAAGGTGAGAGTTGCAATAGCTACAAAAATGAATGTGAATGACTTAAATAAAAAAAATAAAGCTTGCAAAAGTTGATTAGATCAAAAGAAAACAAATCACCAATTTCAACAAACCAAGCGTCACATTACTAGTTAACTTGTAACTATAATTTTAACAACCAGGGAGCGTTTGCACTTGTGAACTCGCCAATTTAGCGATTTCAGTTATTGAGGGGGGCGCTGCGAAAAGTCAAATTACTCGTTACCGAGTGACAGTTGAGACTTGTCTATCTATTGGAGTTGGTAAATAAGCGAAAAGTAAGAGTTGCAATTGTAACAAAAATGAAAGTGAATGAATGAATGAATTGAATGAAAGAAAAATTGAAAAGCTTGCAAAAGTTGATTAGAACCAAACAAATCACCAATGTCAATAAACCAAGTGTCAAATTACTAGTTATCTTGTAGTTATAATTTTAACCACCAGGAAGCGTTTGCACTTGCGTTGTACCGATGGGGGCGCTGCGAAGCTTCAAATTACTCGTTGCCTAATGATAGTTAAGACTTGTCTATCTAATGGAGTTGGTAAACAAGCGAAAAGTAAGAGTAATTGTGGCAAAAATGAATGTGAATTGAATGAGAGAAAAAAAAGAAAAACGTTCGAAATTTGCTTAGAACAAATCAAAATAAATCACCAATGTCAACAAACCAAGTGTCAAATTGCTAGTTAAATTGTAGCCACTAGAGAGCGTTTGCACTTTTGAACTCTGTATGAAATTAATATAATATATATAAATATAATAAAGTCTGGGCGTAGCAATACGATTGAAGACAAAATAGTTTGTGTTTTGTCGGCGATCGCAGCGAATTTTGAATGTTAAAACATGAGTTATGTCACTCTCTGGCTGACTTTTTTTGAAAAAGTTACTTTTGTAGAAAATTTCTGGAAGTTACTGAGTCGACTGACTGTTGGTAAAGACGAGTTTTTCAAAAATTCGTCAGGGAACAACAAAACATTCCTGAATGAGACCCATAACATTGCTCGAAAGAGAAAATCTGCGGCTTTAAATGGAGAAAACCTCACTATAATAGGAAATTCTTGGGAGTTCCCGGAATTTTGTCACAAAAATTTTATCTCAGTAATTTTTTTAAAATCTAACGTACTCTAGACCCGTTATTATTCAGTATTCGCAAAAGTGTTATAGGAACTTGCTACACTCATTTTAGCTAAAACTACCTCGTTAAGTGTTGGCCACACCGTGTATAGCTTCCGGCGACTGGTGACTTTTTCTAATAACGTTATAAAATAGGTTTAAGCGCAAATTTACATAGCTTGCGCTATTTTTATAAGAATATAGCGCGCTTTTTTTATCAGGCTATTCGTTTATATCACTTATTATTATTGTTATTATTATTATTATTATTATACTTAAATTCACCATCACTAATGTCTGCCCAAGTTTCAACAGTGATTTTTCTAGGCAGCAACTACACAATATGGTTCGGTCATTTTCCCACGTCCTGTATACTCTCCTCCGGTTCAGAAAACGTGCGAAGTTTGATCAAAAAAGACCCCAATGGTTTGGTGTACGTCTGTGGGCATTTGCATACCTTGGGCGGTCTGGTGCCTCAAATGTATACCATGCAGAAAGGGGGTTACCTGGAGCTGGAGTTAGGGGACTGGAAGGATAACAGGATGTAATCAACTGCAGGTGTTTTTTTAATCGGTTCTCTAAAATCTAGCTTCAAGGTATCGGCTAATGGCCATAGATCACGGATTGTTTTCGTTTATCGATGTGCGACATGGAGAGTGGCCGGTTGTTCTTCTGACCAATCCCAAGTCAGCTCTGTTCTTCAACCCTTTGAAAGAGAGCACTGAAAGCATGCTTCAGTCCAGTCATATTAGGTGCAACCGCTCACTATTTATTTACACAGAAATAGTTAGAAAGTTTTAAAACGTTTGCAGAGTATTGGCTTTCAGCTTGTCTAGAATAAAAATAGTGCGCGTAAGAATCAGCCAAGAGTCTTGGACGGATCTCAAGCATGTGAAAGGGCCTCTCTATGTGACTTCCTGGGATGCTCAAAAGTACCGCAATGGACTCCAGGATATAGAAGTACACGGTTTTATGGAGGTTTTACAAGCACTCTATTGAGTTTTTGTAGGTTTATGTGAAAGACATCGAGGGCAGGGAAAAGACTGAAAAAACCTCATTTTCTCTGGACGGCAGTAAGGTGGCCTTTGGCCTGCTACCCAGGTTGGCTCTGATGTCTAATGTCAGCTGCATTGTTAGTACATTAATGTCAGCTCAAACATCCGTATAATCCGAACGGCACAGTTGTATAAAATTATATCCTTAATTTGAACCCCCGTGCTTAAATCCATCGGCAGGGTATTATCAGCTTTATTTCAATTTAAAGTTCTATACCTCTAAAAACACACTTTACATGCATTAGGTACTGTATTAATCAATCTACATGCAAACATTTTTCCTTCCAGTTTTGGTCGTTGTTTATTGCATCTCTTATTGTGTACATTCTTCCCCTGTTGGTAATGAAGTACTTCCACACGGCCATTAGCGGTAAGATTCCTTCCACTTGTAGGTAATGGCTTTCAGTATGTAAGTTTTAGCTGGACTAATTGCTCAACCGCGATTCCGCGGAAACTTGGTCAAATCCTGGATTCGCAAACTCTGGATACTCACCACAGTGGATCGAATATTCTGGCCGATGGTTCTCTATCCGCTCTACCTAATATTCGGCCCCTGGTCAATCGGGTACATAGTGGAGGACTACATCGGCGTGATTTTCTCCTGGGGAATATTTGTTGATGGAGCCTTCCTACCTGGTTCCTTCACCTATGCGTACGGATTCATTCAGGTATAATAAAACAGAATAACTATCTATTCTGCTGCAAAGAGAGGCAGAGGCACTAGTAGTAGAGTAAACATGACTTCTTCTGAACACAAGAATAATTTTTATGCGGTTTTCGTTTTTTTATTCCTTGCAACAATGCAATCATTTTTTTTTAACTTACATTACATAAGTTCAAGAATGAATGACGATATAACGAATGAAATTTGTCCGACCTGAACCTGCGACCTCCATGACTCTGGCATAATGCTCTTACCAACCAAGCTACGAAGCAGACAAGATTCGCACCAGCCTTCGGGTAGTAAATCTGTCTGCTGTCAATAACAAATAAGCTGGTGCGAATCTTGTCTGCTTCGTAGCTTATTTGGTCGAGCATCATGCTGGAGTCATGGAGGTCACAAGTGCAGTTCCCGCCGAAAGCAGACGAAATAAATTTGTCTTATTCCAAAAAAATGTTTGTCTGCTTAAGCCGGGAAAAAAATGTCTCTGTTTAGAATTCTCGGACACGAAAAGTCTTCAATCCTCAAAAAGTTTACTACACTTACCCAAACTACCGCACTTGCCATAAGGGCTACAATAATTCTATATTTTCCATCTAAGAACGCGATGCACCCAACATTGTGGGTAGCAAACTGAATATTTAGACACCTTTTCGAACAAAAGGCACCGACGTACAGAATAAACATAATTATGTTATCATTCAATCATCGCGACGATTCATTGATCTGCTCTTGCTTGGCATTGAATCTATCAGCTTGTCGACATTTTTGTAGAAAGTGCCTGTTCGCACGGGCAGTATTTCCAAGGACAAATTAACGTTCCAACGTAACGAAAGTTCACAACAACTAATCGGAAAACGCTTTAAAATCTTTCACTAATTTAATTTTGAATTCAGAGCGATTTATATTTGTCTGAATTTCATTCACACATTTTGTTTGCCTAAAAGTATTGAGTAAATGAAAAACCGCGAAGAACTCTCAACTTCCGGGCGATGATAGAAACGAATAAAATTTCAACTAATTGAAAGTGCGCTTTAAAAATTCTGTGGATAAGTTCTATATTGTTGAGGCGGATTCATTTTTCTTACAAACTGCTTGGTGCATATTTCGCCTCAAATATATTTGTCTTTAAAGAAGACAGAATTTCCTCACGTCATGACGAACCCAACCAGCGGTTTTAAAAAATTCTGATTTCAAGAATTATACGAAATTTACATTAGAGTTTAATTTTGTTATCTTCTTTGAAAGCTTAATTTTTTTACTATATTTTTTCATATCTTCTGTCTTATTGCTCCATCTGCTAGGCCCAGATATCATGCCTTAATTAGTCAAAATTTGGCATTTAATGCTCTATCAAGTGCTCCAGCTCAATCTGATGCTGAGAAATGGGCAAGAAAGTTCTACTTTTTCTTCAATATTTGGCCGAAAAATGTGGTGACTTTTTTTAGCTGTTAAAATTCCAGCCCTGTTTTCGTAAAGCTTTAATCCCGTGGGTTAAATGCTAAGCGTAATTCAAATCGCGCCGTAGTGAGACGCGATGAGTTATAACTCATTAGCGCACAGAGCAGCAACAACTCAAAAACCCAACTCAGCACAGAGTTAAGCATGCCTAAGTTGACGTCTACTTCCGGTATATCAAGACTTTGAGAATATGTCTTTGATGTATAGAGCAGAGCCGTTTTAACCTGACCTGAAATTTATGGAATGTAACTGTATTTTTTGAGCTACGAGTAACAGCCCATATTCGTGGAACACCCTGTGTTGCGATGTATCAAATTAAGTGTTACACCTGGAATGGGTGGTACCCGGGGACGCCCACGCGATCGACACTCTGTGGCGTCAAAAACGAATGTACTCTACTGGCTAATTACAAATTTGAAATTAATCAAGAGAAATTTAAGTTGGGAAGTTGAATGTTTGAATTATTTTTCAACTTACTGTTAAATCTTGGAAACGAGTCATTTCCGAACTTATGAGCGTGTGGTTGATATTACCGCGAATTTTGCACACCCTGCATATGAGGGATTTCTAAAGGTCAGTTAAATATCCCGAAAAATAAAAAAAACTCGTGTTTTTTTATTGATATAATTATTGAATCTCTTATCTAATAGGTAGTGGGTTTGGATGTCTTCCAATTCTGGTGTGGTATTTTGTTGATTTTTGGCTTATTTCATGGCGGATGGTAAATACTTTCAGATCGTGGTGGATGGTGTTATTATTTACATACCATGGCGCGTTGACTATTTGTCTTAACGTTTTGGACTGATATCTCTGCAGTATTTCGATATTACTGGTACCGTTTTGTATAGTAAGATCTTGTTTTCAAGACTAAGCTTGGACCTTCTATCTATCAACCAATGCATCTTCCTTGTTTTTATTTCCAATTATTTTCTTTTCGTCTGGATGTGTATCTTCCAGGTGAGTCTTCTATCCAGGTGCATCCCCAGATATCTTGCATGATTGGCAGTTGAGATAGGGGTGTTGTTGATTTTTATAGGAGGACCTGATCCTCTTCTTAAAGCGTATAGCACCTGCGTGCACTTTTCCTCGTTGATATTAATTTTCCATTTGACCATCCATTTCTCAACTTCGTTAACATGTTCTTGGAGTGTCTCAGCTGTAGTACTGTGTCGCCCGCAAATGTAGCTGTCAGAATGTTATCGTTTTGTGGTAGATCCGATGTGAAAATTGTGTATAGGAAAGGTCCCAGAAAACCATTTTTTTGTTTTGTACAACAGGCCTTTGTGCTAGACTTTGTCAAAAGCTTGTCTAATGTCCAGATATACAGCTGGACAGTATGCTTTTTCCTCGAAGCTTTCTCTTATTTTGTTAGTGACTCTGTGGATTTGCTCCATTGTCGTGTGACCGCATCTGAATCCAAATTGGTGGTCCGGAATTAGTTTGAGAATTTATTTATGAGCGTGGTAATTAGATTGAGCAGTGTTGAAAGCTATTCAGCTTGTTTAGTCAATATATTTTCAAGTCTGGCAAAAGCTTGTACTTCATAATTTGAATTTGGTAAGTTGTTTTCATTTGTGGCATTTCCTTGTAGTACTTGCGAGTAGGATGTTCGAGTCCTCGCGTTTCTTGGTGCTGGATTGTTGATTATTTCAATGTTTGTCTGAGATAGGTTATTTAGATAGAGTTGGCTGATATTCCATATTTCCATTTTGTTTCCTGCGTTTTCGTATTTCTTTGTATACGGTGCAACCCTTGTAATTGGCTGGGTGATACTGCATAATACGCATGTGGCTGGAAGTTCCCTGCTTTTCGAGCAGTTGTTGGTATCGTGATCTCCTGAGGATTTGACACATCTGTGAGGCCTGTTGCAGAATCCTTTTGTGTGACCATATCGCTGGCATCGAGTGCATTGTATTATTTGATTAGTTCTCCTTGGTGGCTCTATAGTAACGGAGGCTCCTACTAGATTTGTTATTTTGTAAATCTCTTGATTGTTTCCCGTCGGTTTCAAGTCTACAAAGAATAGAGGCATTCCTTTTTTTGTGGTTTTGTTTATTGCATTAATTAAATTTCTGACAATATGTCCGTGTTGCTCAATGTTATTTTGTAGCTCTTCAATAGATGTTGTGGGATGTAAATTCCTGATGACTATACGATATTCTCTTTCTTGCTTTAATTGGTATGTATGATAAGAGGCTTTAACATCATTTAGGTGGTGAATTTTTTTCCTATAAATATCTATTGGCAATGAGTTTAGTTTAATTTGGTTATTGCTTATGGTTTTGTGGGTAAAGTCTTATAGATTTCACGCTCCTAAATCGTTGAGAAAGACATTTATGTTCGTTCTGTCCGGGATAAAGATAGGTGGTGGTTTGTGATCTTGTGGTGTTTCTTCATTTGGTTGGGTGGATAGTGGCTGGAAGCGATTTGCTTGTTCGATTGTAAATGAGGAATTTCTTCTGTCTTCTGTTGGACTATCGGATTGTCTAAGGCGTTTGCCTTTGTACTATTTGCCATTCATTTGCACTGTTTTGGCTTCGAGTGAACATTTTTGGAGGGATTTTTTTGGGGTATGGGTCTGTTTCAATTTCTCCTCCTTCCAAGGGAGAATTACCTAACATCTCTGCGTCACTCATGATTTACTTTAAACCAACGGTATTATCTACCGTGGTTTTGTCGTTTGATTTTACTCAATTTTTCAATTTTTAACGGTTGTAAATTGGATAAATTCTTGGAATATTTCTATAGAAAAGTAGTTTGGAATGGGGGGATCAAAATTCATGGTATTTCAGTAAATGGGGGCCCCATTTGCGCCCCATTTACTGTCAAATATGACACTGACAAGCGGGAAGTTTCGCACCTGTTCTGGAGATTTCGAGAACCACCTGGGTTACCTGAAGGAATCTATATAAGCGGCGAGGAGAACGAGACGAGAAGAGTGAAGTGACAGGAGCGACCAGGTGCAGAAGAGGTTAAACCCCGCGAGTCGGAAACGCGTGTTTTCCGTGTGTTATTGTTATCGTTTGTGAAGTTGACGGTAATTTTGAAGTTAGTTTGTTCCTGTTCCGCATTTAAAGTTATACCGAGGTGAATAAAAGTTGGAAGCTGAAGAAAGAGTTTGATACTCGGCCATCCACGGTACAATATGATAAAGAATTCACTGCTCTCGCTCACACGACTGTTCAGTACGACTAGCTAAACGCGACTCCCAAATAAAACTCTAAACTAAAATAATTGAGATATTTACGGAAAATTGAATTATAAATTTGACAACAATGTATTTGGTCACACTTGCAAGTGACATTTTTAGCCTTGTTGTTTCGTAAATATAGAAATCTCGCGCAACTTTATTTGACAATCTTCACAACATCAGTTTTTATTTTTGACAAGAATCATCTAACAGTATGATGTTTATGGAAATTGATAGGACGGCAGATACGCATGTGTACACTTTTAACCTCTGTTTTAATGCGATGCTGTAAAAGTTTCCCATTATTGGAGTTCTCAGGAAAATGTCATTGCGTCTTTTCGCGATAAGGCAAACCTGACTTTTTGTTTTTGGTTCTTCCAACAAACTATTTTTTTTAAATTCTAGATGATCACTTTTCAAATTCCCTTGACAGTAATTCTGATCAATACAGTCAGCACAAGGTAAGTGATTGCCAGAGACGACTGGTTCAGCCATTGATTGGGAAACATTGCAGATACAGCCAGTTGTCCTTGAAAATCGGCAAAAAGGTGTCCCTAAGACAGGCAATTTGCGCTCACCTTCCATTCTGCATCGTCTTCATCATTCAGGTTATAATGGCCTACATGTTTTGGCTGGCCTACGGCACTTTGGCCTTCATTCTAGGGCCTTTGCGCACTTGGTCCTTAGTTCTAGCTGCCGGTGTTTACTACACAGCTTTGCATTTGCCTGACAAATGTTTTCGGTAGGTTGCTCAATCATTCTTGCAATAGCTGGACATTTGCCTAAACGAAGAGTGTTTTTTAGGCGTGCCAAAGAGTTATGCTTCACAAAATCGGAAACAACGACAGATCAAGACGCAATTAATCTGGAACTGCAACTGGAACATTCGGCTGAAAAGGTCGCAAAAGCTAACTGAAGTGATATTAGTTGATATGAAAGACTTTATTTTTACCTCTCTTTTGTGATATGTCCGGTTCTCCAATATACTTTTGTGTTTTACTTTTGACTATAGTTTATATAAACTGAAGACTTTAACAGAAAATAACAGTTAAATACGCGAAGAAGAACTAATAAAGACAAGATTTCGTCGGTTTCGCACCCCCAGGACGTGGCTGTTGAGAGCTAAAGGGTTCGAAAGCGGTCCTGGGGGTGCCTGAGGTAAGGAACCTCGAAATTTGCACTGTCTTACGTAAAGGACAATGTTGGTCAACATTTTCAGTAATCTACTATGAATCGTTTTATTTTTATAACTCGTGATTGAAGGTCTATTTTTAGCACTCGTAGAAGGAACATATTTTAGCATCACCCAGTCATGTGCATAGATTAGGCTGTTAGAATGGGAATATAATCTGATATATTATTAGAATAATACAAACGAATGTTAGTCTGTTGCTTTGATTTTTTATTACCTTTGCCATCCTTTACAATTTGTTACCGGTAGGTGCAGTTTGATATTTTTTAATTAAAGTCAGCAGAAATTGTGTGAAAGATGGAAACTGTGTATTCTATATGTTTTTCAACGCGAGTAAGTATGGGAGATAAGCAATATGAGAACTAAAAAATAAAATAGTGTAACGGAAATGGCCTGGGGTACTCACGTTTGGAATGGGGGATCGAAATTCATGGTATTTCAGTAAATGGGAGCCCCATTTGTGCCCCATTTACTGTCAAATATGACACTGACAAGCGGGAAATTTCGCTCCTGGGCGGGAGATTTCGAGAACCTTCTGGGTTACCTGGAGGAAACTATATAAGCGACGACGAGAACCATGGGGAGTCAGTGAAGTGACAGTAGCGACAGAGTTCAGAAGAGGTTAAACCCCGCGAGTCGGAAGTCCGAGTTTTCCGTTTGTTATTGTTATTGTTTGTGAAGTTGACGTTAATTTAGAAGTTAGTTTGTTCCTGTTCCGTATTTAAAAGTGATACCGAGTTGAATAAAAGTTGAAAGCTGAAGAAAGAGTTTGATATCCGGCCATCCACGGTACAATGGTATAACACATTTCAATGAGCCATAAAATAGTGAATTTAGAGGAAGCGTGTTGCATTTTTCTGTTAAATATTTTTCTTCAGATTTTTCCAAATTGAGAGAAGTGGATTTGGATTCACCAAATAACGATGTAACGAAAATTTCGCAAAATTGCTTCAGGGGTTTCTTTTGATGTGACAAATTTTGGAGAAACTTGTGATATGTCGAAAAATCATGGACGTTGCACAAAAATTGACGGAAAATTAATTTTTCCACAACTAGTTTTTAGTAAATGAGGTAAAAACTTGAGAAATATTTAGTAATTCCTTGACGAATTTGAAAAAATGGCAGTCTGCTAATGATTATTCTCTTGCTATAGTGGCTTAAAAAAAACCTGGAAAATCTCAGGAAATGCCATATAAGCGACTTTTCCTCACTTTGAGAGATTCCTCACACGCAAGTATTTTCTTTTGAATGATTGAGGAAATTTGTTGCTTTTTCTTGTCGAATTTAAGAAAGAATCACTTTTATAGCAAAACTTTGAAACTTTCCAAGACTTTTTCAGTTATTGTGACAACTAAAGTGGATATTAGCAAACAGGATTTTTTCAAAAAGAACTTCCTCTGGATCGAAAATCTCTGAATCTTGTCTTTTGTGTTATATATATATATTCCATATATATATGTTCCAGAATATTTTCCGTTAGTATCTCGAGTAGATTGGCCTTCGTTGGCAAGAGCGTTTTAAACAATCGTGTCAGAAACACCAAAAATCTCTCAAGCCTGCCTTTTGGGCCATTCCAGAGAGAACGCTCGCTACATTAAGCGTGAAAAAAAGGACATGACTAAAGACCGGATTTTAAGCATTTTGCTTATTGCTGAATTTTATAAGCAACCATAATATTATTTCATTTCTAAACGAATTATACCAAACTAAGTATATTGCGATAGCTTTTATTATGCTTTTTTTGCTTTTTTTTAGTTTTTATGCTTTGTTCTCCGTTCGTGTTTATCTTAACTTTTTTCCGCATATCTAAATAATTTTAAAAATAGTTCAATACATTATACGGGAATAAATGTCCATATAAAGTAGATTTGGCAACTTTGCAAGGCGTCGCGTGATTTCCTGAAAAATCCGTTCGCACGTAGGTAATTCCCCAAAGTTTAACCTTGCGCTATGAAGTTACGACGATGTGGTCTGGTCTCCAGTTTGTTTGTATCGTCTGTACTTGGATTTAATTAGCTGTACGTGGTAACTATTTAAACAATGCCAAAACAAAAGCCAACCATTGAAGAGTGAATTAAAGGTCACAAAGAACTAAAAATTAACAATAAAAATATTTTTTGTCAAGCACGTTCTAAAACTGTAAGTAACAATTCGCAAATTCTTATTCTCGTCTTTGTTTCCTGTTTAAAATATCATTTTATTTTTTTGAATTTTTTGACTTAAGAGATTTAAACTTACAAAATATTGTAAAAAAGCATTCCAGATGAGAGTGCTCTTCAGAAAAAGTATGTCAGCCCAGTTTATGATGAAGCAATGCAGCAAATTAAAAAAATTTTTGCAAATTATTATACAGGGTGACCATTTTCTGAATCTTTGTATGGGTAACTTCTACATTTTTAAAGATAGAGAATCCGTTAAATTGGGCAGAATTCGATTGCCTATTCATTACCGTTTTCAAAATTTAGGTACCCGACTTGGTTCCTGAAATATCCTGAAAAGGCAAGAAATGAATTTAATTATCATATAATTCGTAAACGGCTTAAATTAGAAAAAAAAGTTAAAATTGTCTTTGGAAGAACTTTTTGCGTTGAATTCAATAAACTAGCACTCGTTGTCATAGTCAACTTGATTTACGAGATAAAAAGTAAACTTATGTTTTTTAAAATGGTAATCATAGTTGGCTGTGGGCCTTTTAAAATCCTTATTTTTTTAACTGTTGTGTATGTAATGTATGTTTTTCTCCTTTTGTTGGCGTAAAACTTCAAAAGAAGATAAAAAATGTGTAGTAGGTTATGGAAACAAGACCTATTTTATCACACAAAGCACAAAACAAAAATGAAATAATTAACACACAATCATGTTTACTGAGCTAATGAAAATGATCGTCTAATTGAAAATAGACGAGGTCAACGTGTTTTTTTTGTGAATGTCTGGTGAGGCATTTTTAGTGATAAAATTATTGGTTCATTCTTTTATAATCACAATTTAAATATGGAAAGATATTTACACTTTTTACCAAATGAACTTCAAGACATGTTGAATAGTTTCCCGTTAGCATCGTATCGAAAATTGGCATATTTTCAACATGATAGTGCACCTTCACACAACTCACGCTTTGAATGTGAAGATGCCAAAAAATGCCTGGACGTAAACGGAAGTCAATTTGAACATTTAATTAACGATTCATTATTGTTTGTGCTTTGTGTGATAATATAGTTCTTGTTTCCATAGCCTACTACACATTTTCATCTTCGTTTGAAGATTTACGGCAACAAAAGGAGAAAAACATACAAACAATTATATCGTTAAATTCAGAAAAAAATAAGGATTTTAAAAAGCGCACAGTCTACTATGATTACCATTTAAAAAACCATAAGTTTATTTTTTATCTCGTGAATCAAGTTGACTATGATAACGAGTGCTAGTTTATTGGATTCAACGCAAAAAGTTCTACTAAGTGCAGTTTTTTTCTAAGTTAAGGAGTTTACGTAATAAGTGATAATTAAAAAAGTGTCGATTTCTTGTCTTTTCAGGATGTCAGGAACCAAGTCGGGTACCTAAATTTTGACAACGGTAATGAATTGGCAATCGAATTCTGCCCAATTTTGCCGATTTAACGGATTCTCTATCTTTAAAAATGTAGAAGTTACACATACAAATATGCTGAAAATGGCCACCCTGTATATGGTTTACTGTAGATGAAATAACTGACACATGTGGGAGATATATAGCCAACTTGAATATAGGAGTCTTGAATGAAGATATTGTCACAGAAGGATTTTTAATAAGTTCGAAGAAATTAACAAAAACGAATAGTAATACTATTTCTAGATTTGTACATGAAGAGTTAAACAAGTTTTTTTGCCCGATGTGGTTACAAATGAAAAAATTTTGTTGATGCTTTCTGTCGCAGCAGTACCTATACATGATTAAAGCTGCATCAAATCTTAAATTTTTTCTCTATAATTGAATCCATTGTACCTGCTTAGCACATGGGCTTAACCGCATAGCTGAAACTATAAGATTGCAGTGTCCGTTGGTCCATAAACTAATAAAAAATTTCAAAAAAATATTTATAAAAGCTCCATTGAGAGTGCAACTTTTTAAGGAAAGATATCCTGATATTCCTTTACCCCCAGAACCTATTTTAACACGGTGGGGAACTTGGCTAGATGCTGCCTTGTACCATGCCAATAATTTTAACGAATTTAAAAGCTTGAAACTTGAATTTCAAGGTACAGAAAGCAAAGCAATTCAAGAATGTCAGGAAGTTTTAGAAGTACCCGAACTTGCACATAATTTGGCTTTTATCAAAACTAATTTTAAATTTGTAAGTCAAAGCATTCAATTTTAGGAAAAAACACGTTTTACAAACGTTAGTGGAATCCATAAAGGTTTTTAAAAATTTTGAAGCTGCAGCAAATAGTATTCCAGGATCTATTGGTCAAATAATTAAAGAAAAATTGGTTCAGACTCTTTCAAAGAATACAGGATTCCACATTGCAACATTGCAAAAAGTATCTACTATTTTGAATGGCTGGCCAAATTCCGATTTTAAAATAGATCCAGCAATTATACCAAAATTGAAATATGCACCTATAACCAGTGTATATGTAGAACGAAGTTTTTCTGCATACAAAAACATTTTATTAGACAGGAGACATAATTTTACTACGGAAATTTTGGAGAAATATTTAGTTATATTTTCTTTTAAGCATTGTTAATAGAAAATAAGTATATTGAAAATAAATAGAACGTGTTAAATGTAAAATAACAATATATTATCATTACAACTTGTTTTAATTTTTTTCAAATACTTTTTTTTAAATTGTGTTTTTTAAAAGGTCTATGCTTTTTTAAGCACTTTTTTCATTTTTTTGTGTTTTTTTATCCGGTGTTTATTCATGACTAAGAGCAATAATAGTATAATAAATATGACATAATAAGAACAAACTGGTCAACTATAGATCCAACTAGATCCCAGAAAAGTGACTATTCCTTCGCTTTTAAATGGAATAATGCGTCAGGTTAGGAATTGTTTACTTTTTTTATGACGAATTAAGAAAAAACGTTTATTAACAGCTGGATGTTTTAAAAAATGTGTGAAGAATAATCCATAAATGCTCGCTTCCTTAAGTGGGAAAAATAACTTTAATGGAAAATTTGTGAGACTTCAGAATTTTTCCCGCTAGTATGGCGAGTAGATTGGCGGTTGGGAAATAAGACTTTTCCATAAATTCCTCTTCCACAAACCTGCCCTTTATGCCATTCGAACGAGAATTTTCGCTATTTTAAGTTAAAAAAATTACTATGATGCAAATTTTTTGAGACGTTCCAGAATGTTTCCGTTAGTTTCGCGAGTAGATTGGTTAAAAAATCGTATAAGTAACACAAAGTCCCTTAAGCCTGCCCTTTATGCCATTCGAAAAAGAATTTTCGTTATTTTAAGCGTGAACAAAATATCACTAAAACCTGTCTTTTGCACCATTCGAAAAAGATTTGTGTACAATAGAATTTACACAATAAGTGTAAAAAAATCACTTTATCGCAAATTTACTTGGTAGTATGTGTAGATTATCCAATGGTGAACAGGACTTTTTAAAAATTCGTCTGAAAAAAACAAAAATTCCCAAAATCCTCAAAATTGTGTTTTGCAAGGAGAAATTTTTCGAAAATTGGCCAACCCGCTTCAAGAATTTCTTCTTTTGAATTGACGAATTTTGGAAAAACATAATATGTTGAGTAAATCTTGGTAAATGGACCGAAAACAATTTTTCCCCGACATACACCCCGGTTTCGAGTAATTTCTAGTCAATGAGATAAAAGGTAGGATTGAGGCGTTTTTGGTTTTCTCTTAGCACATTTTTAAATACGCCTGTTTGCGAATGACCAGCCTATTTGATCTAGTTCTCTAAACAACTCTTTGGAAATCCCAGAAAAGTGACTTTTTCTTCGCTTTTGAATGGAATAATGCTCAAGATTAGGATTTTTTTTTATGACGAATTAAGAAAAAACGTATATTAACAGCTGGAGGTTTTAAAACATGTTCGAAGAATAATCCATAAATTCCCCAATCCTGTCCATTATCTTAATCGAAAGAGAATGCTCGCTACTTAACGTGCTAATAAAATCACTTTTAGAGTAAAACTTTTTTTAAAAAGGACAAGGTTTTTTGAATTATTATGACGAACAAATTGGCCGTTAGCAAACAGGACTTCTTCAAGAATGTGTTTAGAACAAGCCAACAATCCATTAAAGGTGCCATTTGAGACTAAATGCTCGCTTCTGTAAGCGGGAAAAAAAACTTTAATAGAACATTTTTGAGACTCCAGGATTTTTTCCGTTAGTTCCGCGAGTAGCTTGGTGTTCGTATGCGAACAGTATTGTTTTAAAAATCGTATAAGAAACACACAACGTCCCTCAAGCCTGCCCTTGATGCCATTCGAAAGAAAATTTTCACTATTTTAAGCGTGAAAAAAATATTTTGAGAGCTAATTTCTCAGACGTTCCAGAATTCTTCCGTTATTTTCGCGAGTAGATGGGTGTTCGTTGGCAAACAGTATTGTTTCAAAAATCGTGTAAGGAACACCAAAAATCCCTCAAGCCCGTCCTTTATGCTATTCAAAAGCGAATTCTCGCTATCTTAAGCGTGAAAAAAATATTTTGAGATCAAATTTCTCAGACGTTCCAAAATTGTTTCCATCGCAGTCGATTGGCAATTGACAAACAGGACTTCAAAAATGCATCTAAGAAAAACAAAAAATTACTAAAACCTGCCTTTTATAACCATCAAAAGAGAATGTATGTACAATACATTTAACACAATAAGTTTAAAAAAATCACTCTATGGCAAACGTACTTGCTAGTATAAGTAGATTATCCAATGGCGAACAGGACTTTTTACAAGTTCGTCTGGAACAAAACAGAAGTTCCCTAAGCTTGCACTTTGTACTAGAGGTGTGCCAAGCGGTTACTTTTCTGTAACGGGTTACAACGTTCCAGTTTTACCTTGGTAATAGGTTTCAAAATCCGGTTCCAAAAGGGACATGTTACTTTTTAAACTTTTCATTAAAATGCAGAATGATGAGTATAGTAGAAATAGTGATGATATATAATGACTTCCTTTATTAAAAACATAATTCTTAACATTCGTAAACTTAAAATAAAATATTCTAAAATCAAAAACGAAACATGGGTCAGAAGTAGCTACTTAAAGAACAAAAAAACTGATAATAATAAAACGATTATTAAATGATGATTAAATAAAATATACGTTTATATGCGAAAATGAAATATATAAAAATGAATTAACATTTAAGAATTAAATTTTTTGCAGATGTTTTTTGCTGATTCTAGTTCTTCGCGCGTTTATGATAGCATCCGCTTTAGAAAATAATACCTCGCATTTCGTTTCTTATTAACATTAAATAATCCACAATAACAAAAAAGAGAAATACGTGTTTGGCAAACCTGGACGAAGTATTACTCCAGTTAATTTTGGTACCACCAAAAAATAATTTAAAAAAATATTCAATCTTACAACGTTTATTACTATTCAAATAACTTTCCAGTATAAAAATGCCCAGCTTGCTTAAATGCAAAGGTGCACATTCTGCTTAAAACGTTTGTTATTTTCCATTTGAACTGTGATGGAATTTATGTCTTAGACTCTCAGTTTGCTAATAGCTCATATGCAAGTGTACATTCTGCTGTTTGCTGGTAATTGGCATATAACTCCCGAGCTAAGTTTCTTGAGAAAAATATCTTTTTTTAAAGATTTATTACAGAATGTCAGAAAACTAAATACTTATAGTCTAAAAATGCTGAGTTATATCATTGCAGCAATTAAACAAATTTTTGCTGGTTCCTGGAGAACTGAACAGTAATTCTTATAAACGAAAAGTGATACACAATCATCAAGGCAACGCGCAACTACATACAACATATTTTCCGTTGACAAATGGTTACTGAAACTGCTGCAACTGGATAGAGCGAGAGCGCTCGACGATGCCGCATCGGTTCTGTGCTGGCGCGAACCACTTTTTCAGGTTTATGAGGCGGTTCCAAAAACAACCTATAAATCGGCAAACAGTTGCAGTTGGTGCAAAGTGCGCACAACTGTTTCTGTTTTATGAGACGGTTCCAAAAAGAACGGTTTAAATCGATAAACGGCTGCAGCTCGATAGATCGCTTGACGGTGTCGCATCAGTTATGTGCTAGTGCGAAGTGCGCACCGCTGTTACGGTTTTATGACACGGTTCCAAAAACAACCTTTAAATCAGATAACGGCTGCAGCTGGTGCGTAGTGCGCACAACTGTTTCTGTTTTATGAGACGGTTCCAAAAAAAACCGGTTAAATCGGCTAGCTACGGTTGCAGGTTACACGTTTGGAACACTGTTATTTTAGTGGTTACGTTAAATACCGACCATCCCTACTTTGTACCGTTATAAAAGTAGATACTGTTCGCTACTTTATGTGGGAGAAAAATCATTTGTCTGACAAATTTCTAAAGCGTTCCAGAATTGTTTTCCTTAGAATCCCGAATATATTGGCGTTCGGAAGCAATACTTTTTCAAAAATTCTTCAATGGGAAACTAAAAATCCCTCAAGCCTGCTCTTTATATCATTCGAAAGAGCTTGGGCGTTAGTTTAAATGTAAAGAAAAAGACGGTTTTATAGCAAATTGCTCATACATTTCAGATTTTTTTTCGCTAGTATCGCGGGTACATTGGCGTTTGCAAACAGTACTTTTTCAAAAATTCGTCAATGGGAAACCAAAAATTTCTAGAGCCTGCTTTTTATACCGTTCGGAAGAGCTTGCACGCTAGTTTAAATGTGAAGAAAAAGACAGTCTAATAGCAAATTTTTCAGACATTTCAATTTTTTTGTGTAGGGAATTCGTGTAGGGAAACCAAAAATGCTTCAAGCCTGCCGTTTGGGCAATTCCAGAGAGAACGCTCGCTACATTAAGCGCGAAAAAAAGGACATACTTACCTATCTGTATCTCTCATGTTCTCATATTTTCATGACTAAGAGCAATAATAGTACTATAATAAATATAACATAATAAGAACAAACTGGCCAACTGGACTGTGGAGAGACAAGTGAATTTTGGCTGTTTTCAATGTTTATTGGATAATTTTTTTGGGGGGTTTTCAAAAGAGACAACAGTGGATTAGTGTTTTGCCAATTTCTTGAAAATTGGCCAACCCGCTTCAAGAATTTCTCCTTTTGAATTGAAGAATTTTGGAAAACTTGATATGTTGAATAAATCTTGGTAAATGCACAGAAATGGACAGAAAAACAATTTTTCCCCGACCTAAGGTTTCGAGTAATTTCTAGTTAATGAGACATCGGGCAGGCTTGAAGCGTTTTTGGTTTTCTCTTGGCAAATTTTTAAATACGCCTGTTTGCAAATGACCGGTCCATTTGATCTAGTACTCTAAACAACTCGTCCAAAATCCCAAAAAGTTACTTTTCCGTTGCTATTTTTTACTTTTTTTGTTACGAATTAAGAACAAACGTTTATTAATGTTTTAAAAAATGTGTGAAGAATAATCCATAAATTCCTCAATCCTATCAATTATCTTATTTGAAAGAGAATGCTCGCTATTTTACGTAATAACAAAAACACTTTTCACGTAAAACTGATTACAAATTTTTTTGAATTATGTTGACGAACAAATTGGCCTTTAGCAGACAGGACTTACTTTTTCAAAAATGTAAATCAATACTTTTTCAGAAATGTCTATCGAAAACGAAAGATTCCTTAAACCTGCCCTTTATGCCATTCGAAAGAGATTGTTGGCTATTTTAAGCGTAAAAAATCATTATTATGGCAACGTTTCTGAGATGTTCCAGAATGTTTCTCTAATAACTTTAGACTAGACTCTGTAAGGATGCACGTCTCTTTCTACACAAGTACAACAAAGTAACAAATGCAAATTAAAACAATTTTAATTATTACAACGTTAAAACCCAACAAAATCTTAATACTACTGGAAGCACTGCACTTTATTTACCACCCTCATCAGGTAGTTCGACTAACAAAATTATTTAATAAGTAGTTGAAGTAGACGGTTTCCTGGCATAAACTATAATCAGCTTATAGTCCACGGGGGTGCTTTCAGTGCTGCCGCTTTCAAACCATTTAACGTTGCAGCTGTAAATGTTCCTCACCTCCTTGGTAAAGTCCTTTATATACTGCACTCTTTCCTCAGGTGAAAGTTTTGGCAGAATTGGATCTACCGCGATGATAGATTCTGAAACCACACTAAGTTTGCGGAACATTGGAAAAACCACTCAAATACTGACTTTCCATGTGTTTTAAGCTGGTAAACACGTGCTGCCGGTCTTCGACGACGCACCGCAAGTCTTGGAACCCGGCTTCTTGCAACAGTTTTGTTACCTTTTGCTTCGCATTCTTGCAGTTGTGATAGGGCGACACCATTTCTTTGCGAAAATAAGACGCCCATTGTATATTCCTGGACATACTTTCGTAAACGTCGTAAATCGGGTTGGTGCCCAAGAAGCTCATCAACAAATCTCCACCTGGCTTCAGTAGTTGGCGGATGTTGTCAAACGCCTTTCTGCAATGCACACATTTTTTGTTCACTCTATACACACTGTCGACGTCTACAGGGTGATTTTTTTTCGATGATTAGTACAGGGATTTTGGAAACTACAGCAGATACGAAGAAAGTTAAATGGATAAAGAGTTGCAGTTTTGAATGCTCCTCTCGAAACCATTTTTATTCTTGCAAAAATTTGACAGCTGTCAAGAGGTATTTGAAAGAATCTATTTAATGACAGAACTCCTAGTTCCGTCAATGTAAATTTGACAGGAAAACATTATATTCGCGAGTTCAACTATCGGTTGACGCTGCGAAACGTCAAATTCCTCGTTGTCGAGTGACAGTTGAGATCACAATCAGATGTAAACAACAATGTGACACCAATGTCAACAAAACAAGTGTCAAATTATTACTTAACTTGTAGTTATAATTTCAGCGGGGGGCGTCTGGAGTTTTGACCGCGCGAATAGAAAAGTTGTAGGTAAGTTGTCAAGTCAAGTTTATGTCATAAATGACAGATAATTTGGGAAAATGTCTTAAGTCATTTTATTTGAAACGCAACTTCCTAAAATTTTTTTATTTGTTATTTTCCTGCGAGGCTAATAATGGCGGAACTGAAGGTTTAAAAAAATTTTCAATAAATCAGTTTTTTAACATCTCTTGACAGGTGTCAAATTTTGAGGAAATAAAATTGATTTCGAGTAGGGCATTCAAAACTGCATTTCTTTGCCCATTTAACATTTTTCGTATGTGCTATAGTTTCCAAAATCATCGAAAAAAAATCTACTTGTGAGTGAGTTCAAGTAGACAAATAATGTCTAAATTCATTTACAATTCAAAGGGGCGTTTTTTTCGAAAAAAGCACGATCTGGTCAATTATTATCTGAAAAAGCGATTTTCTTTATACGAAAACTTATTTATCGAAAAATAAGTTATGACAACCAACTTATTTTTTACAAATAAGAAGCACCTGTGTCTTATTTCAATTTTGAATTCTCCATTGTTTGAACTTTCGCCACCCGATTCTTTGACGCGAGTTCAACTATCGATGATGGCGCTGCGAAACGTCAAATGACTCGTTGTCGAGTGACAGTTGAGACTTGTTTATTTATTAGTTGGAGTTTTTGACAGTTGGAGGACATTTACAACATAAAACAATACTGACACACTTTTCGATCTGTTTCTATTTCTTTAAAATCTTGCAAGAGTTAATTAGAACGAACCAAAATAAATTAAAATCAGATGTAAACCATATCAGCGACAAACCAATATCAGCAAAGCAAGGGTCAAATTACTATTTGACATGTAGTTATAATTTTAACCACCAGGGGGCGTCTGAACTTTTATACTCCCGAATAGCTGATTTAAAATTTAAAGATATCTAATATTAAATCTGAAAGTTGTAGATATTAACGTCTAGCTTATTTTAAGATAATATCAATTGATACGGGGTGTCTCAAATTCAAGTAGCAGACCAAACTTTTAGGCACATGTTACCAGAATCATACTCAGAATAGAGAATTCGAAATTTCACTAAAAAGCAGTTGCTTCCATTTGAAAGAAATAAGTTGGGGCTCGAAACGTATTTTTGGACCACCCTGTAAAAAACATTTAGGATAACAAAAACTGTATTTACAAATGGCGTCTTAAGCTTTTTTTCAAAAAACGTAGCGCCGAATTTTCCATTTTTAGAGTCCATGATTTCCGTTGGTGTTGAACTTTCGAAAAATAGTTTCATATAAAAGTTGTTCACGCACAAAGTGCGCACATTTGAAAAATATTTTATATGATACAGAAAAGTGAGGCAAGATCTATATGTAATCTATATGTCTAATATGTCTCAGAAAAGTGAGGCAAGATCAAAGTGTGTTTTTTTAAACAGAACTACCCATTTTTCATTAGCTCATGGAATGGAACTTGAGACGCTGCATATGCACCGCAAATTGTTTTTTTTACATGCGACGTTGGCAGATTATCGCCATTTTAGTAAAATTTTGCTTAAAAACATGGTATCTAAAAATTCATTGTAGAAGCGAAAAAAAGCAGTTAAAGATACAAAAAATACGTCTTTCTAATCATGACAGATCCATTAAGAATTCTATTGAACCAAAATATGAATACATTGTACAGGGTGTTAACAATATGGACTTCAATCTAAAACTTTTTAACGCAATATAAATTTTGCTTTTCAAAGGGAAGTACCTGTATATTAATACGTCATTAGATAGACAATTTACAAAGTTACAAATTTGCATTAACACTTTAAGCTGTGAAATCAACCGTTTTCAAATTATAAATTATTTTATTTAAAAATTTTAAAAGGTCATTACATTTTGCAAGGTGGCTATGGAATTCAATAAATAAGTGTCAAAATTTGATGATTCTTGACATCACATTTTCTTTCGCACTAAAAAACCACCCTGTATGTACCTTTGGTCAGCAATCCAGTGCAGGCAGTAGAAAGAGAACACATGGTCGAACTGTCCAGAAATTCTGCGACAAGTTTCACCATCCATCAGGTCCAATTGCCGGAAATCCAGACGAGAATTCCTGCGGGCCTTTTTTGCAAAACGAATCATTTTTTCGCTGATATCGCAGCCCACCAGGCGGGTCAAACTGGGCGGCAGTTTCGGCAACAGAATGTTGGCTGTGGTGTAGCCCTCCCCACAGCCCAGATCTATGGCAGTTTGATTGTCGCCCTTCGTCCAATCGATGAAACCAAGGAAATTCTCGATCACATGGATGTTGTCCGTTGTTTGCAGCGAATTGTGCTTGGAATACAGCTTCGGCTCGTTCATCACTACTGAAAATTCTTTATAGGCCCCCCCCAGGTGAAATGTCTTCCGATTTGGGCTCTTTAATGAGGCTTCAATGTCAACTAGAGAATATTTTTCACTGGCGGGATTTTTATATTAGTTTTCGGCCACTCTCTTCGGTTTCCTTCAGTGAATCTCAAAATGCGGAGACGTCGAATTCCGTTAACGCAGCCTGAAATGCTAATATGGAAAATGATTTCTCAACAGCATGGGCGAGTTTTAATTAATTGAAATGCGATATTTAATGAAGTTCGACTCCTGTTGGTTCATGGACATCGTGGATAAATCACGATAACAAAATTTCAATTTTATTTAAAATTGATGGTAATTCATTTAAATAATGATGGTTGATGAACGCAAACACGAAAAACTGTTTGTTTCAATGTTGGGTAATGAATGTCAAATCACCATGAATTACGTAAATGGTATTAAGAACAATAAGAGGAATAATAAAAAAAAAGTTCGGCATCAGCAGAGCCATCATGAGCTTTTGTAATGGGCAAGGGCAGTTTTTGAAATGCGCCAACCTCAGGCACCCCCGGGACCGGTTTCGAGCCTATTAGCTCTTATCAGCTGGGTTCAGCCTGAAATTAGCGTACAACTAGTTTCCACGCTGATGTAAATACATTGGCATTATAAAGTGCAGGTTTTGGAATAGCAAATTTCAGGCTGAATCCAGGTGATGACAGCCAAAAGGCTCGGAACCAGCCCTGACGTTGGCGCATTTCAAAAACTGCACTTACGCCTATTTTAATAAGAGCAATATCTGAGCAACTAAGCAACTTAGCCGGTATTAAATCTGGTGATTTCCACGTCATATTGGGTAACGTAAAAATTTGGTATGTCCAAGAGCCGTCAATAAGAAGAATTGGCAAGCTCACCAAAATGTTATGCAATCGAAAAGTGCGATATGTCGGCATAGTTTGCAGAACAGATGTATTTTAGTATACGGCAAAATGTAGATAAGCAGAAAAAAAATACTTTAGAAGTTCTACGGTGAAACGATCGCTTTGAGGACGATTTTAAATTATTTTTGTCCGATCTGGTTCCGCAGGCAACCAACCAAACGACATCACTACCGTGCCCAAGTACCACGTCTTTATGACGTCTATACGACATGAGCTAAATAACTAAAAGCACCGTGCTAACGACATACTAATTAGGGATTAGAGAGTTATTTGTATACGAGATTCAGCTAACTTTGGCGTTCAGAATAAAGTTCAAGATTTATTCGTATTTCGAAAAGTTGCTTGCAAAAACAGTGGCTTATTGAAAGCGCGTGCGTTGGCGAAGGCGAATGATTCGGCGTCTGTCAAGAGGCTCCTGAGAGAAACCAAACTGTTTTCCGATGCCAAGTTTTATCTCGATTTCTTGAAAAATGTGGTGGAAATTCACTAATATTCATTAATAATGTAAAAGCCAGCTTTCACTAATAAATCAATTGTATCAAATGGGGTTTTGAGGGTGAAAACTTGAAGAACGTCTTTAGAGTTTGTTCGCATGCTATCATTTACGTTGATTAGACGTTATGTTGGTGATCATATCACAATGTGACCAAAAATAGACGTGGATTAAACGTCTATTTTTTCTTTCAAAGTGGCTTTAACAAGAGATATAATGAAATTAATCCATGCATTATCGAAAATATTTTACAGTCATTTGGAACAGTTGCGTAAATTAATACAAGTTTCTTGCATGTGCAAGCTTTATACGTGTTATAAATTATCCAGTAGAATTGGAAGAATCTCAAATATGTTTATGGTGATAGCCCAGACGACCACAAGTATGATGTCGATTTTTGGTCCCATTTTGACATAGTTATCAACTGACGTCTTATCTACGTGGAATGAAGCAAAGAACCAACGTCATAATGAAAATGACATTTAAATGCAATTAAATCGCCTTTTTGTGTAAATATATACAAATGATTTATTACGTAAAACTGACTTGGTCACATAGAAAAGCCGAAGTTAACATAATATCTCGTTAAATACTACCTGCAGTCTGCATTAACGCAAGTCTAACGTCTTATTGACGCAATGCATACGTGAAAATGACGTAGATGTCACGTCTTTTTTAGTCACTAAGCTCAGGTTGTATATATGAGACAAACTCATGTCGTTCAGACGTGAGATTTATTCACTCAATTCAATTCACGTTTAATCTACGTCGCTTCTTTGTCTCAGAAACGTTCTAAAAGCGAATGGCTTTTATATGATATTGTAACCATCCACGATATTCCACCACGAAGAAAGCATTTCTATTTACTCAAAATTTGCACATATAAACTAGAAAAGAACTCAAAAAGTGAAAATACTGCTATTTACAATCTGTAATGATGCTTGAATGTGATTTGTCGTTCTTAATATATTTATATTAATATACATTTACATTGCTTGATTTCCTTTCTATCTATTTCTATCCTTGACAGGGCTTATTTTATTACTGTAACCATAAGATATGATTCAAGTTTGTTTAATAGATTTTAAGACAAGACCAGTTACAAGAATTGACATTTCGAAGGGTTTTGACGTCGATGACGTACGGTGATGTACGTCGCTCACATATGTCATTTCGCTCATGTCACTAATGCCAATGTGATGTGAAAAATCTGTTGACTTTGACGTGTAATGTACGTCTTTTTCGAGTGATTATCACGTTTTCTGAAAGAGGGAATCAGTGGGACTTAATGATAAAAAAAGTCTGGATAAATTTATATGAAAGATGGTGTGCGAAGCAAGAAGGCGCACGGTTTGATTGACTGAATTTTTTAAGTCTATCATCAGAACGTGTTTACTGGTAAATTTACTTACCTAATGAACGTGGCTGAAACTGTTTGAGAACCACTGCTCGTCAGAACCTTAACAATGACCCTCCGAAAATAGCAATAAAGAAAAAATATCTCTGCTATTTATTGTTATTTAAAAATCGTCACCTTTCACCCGCACTTCCCGCGCGTCACAGTACCATTCAGTGTTTTTCTCCAAATTTTCTTGCATATGAGTGAAGATTTTGCTGGAAGCGATTTTCTCGATTTGGATGATTTTCTTCGTGGATTTGAAGATGGTTAAGCGCAGTTTTCGTCATACACTGACCCATACAACATATATATGCGTAAGGATCCCAAATTTTGCCCTGAAGAATGAAAGAGTTTTGAGAAATGGAAGAAGTTTGCTGTAATGGGCAATAATGTAGCACCCAAGAAGTTTCCGGTGGAGTTGCTGTATTTCGTGATGTCTAAGATTGTTTTCAGGTTGGCCGGCTGGAAAAGCTGGATGTGGCTTCGCTGGAATGGAAACCATTCAGAGTTGATCTGCAAGCTCCACACTTTGGTGCTCGTTTGTTCGGTCATATACCCCGTGTTGAAAAAGGAAGATAATTTTCGGCAACCAAAAGAGTTTGCCATGGGTCAGGTTTTCGGCGCAACAAAACGAGATTCGCTTTGCTTTTTTCATTGGTCTCGATTTTCTCGTTTGCTGTCATTACACTTGCATCGCGGGTAAATGGGACCTTTGGTCAGTGCATTCTTTCAGATTCATCTGCTTTGCTTTATTTGAAAATTGTCGTTTTTGGGCCGAAAAGTTGCGTCTTCGAACGACGACGGTCCGTCGATAATTTTTATTATGTTTGTTGTTTATGGAAAGCATAATTTTTTCTCTGTAGCATATATTTTCCAAATGAAAACGATAATTAATTATAAATGCATTCTGAAAAGTACCAAACAGTGGAAAAACTTTATTAAAATTCTTACTTTTTTGCATACTGTGAGCCAAGCTGTTAAAAGTGCTTTTTATAATCATGCATTCGGTGCAAAAAGTGGCAGATTTTAAATAAAAAATATATTTAAGATCTGCTTCCAAAGTGAGCATCCTGAGTCAATGAGAAACCCAAAGCGGTAGGTCAGTTTCCACATACCTCTAGCTTCTATTCTTCGGGTTAGAAGCGCAAGCCGTGCTCTAATGCGAAGGCCATTCAAGAACGGGTTTACTTTGAGGCAACGACCTTTTTCGTAGGTTAAAAACCTGAGTGTTTATTACACATTTTGGATTCTTGGACGATTGTACAAACGCCATGCGTCAAAGCGATTTCATTATCAGATCTTATAGGAATTCTGAACGTTTATTTTACAGATAGATGAGCAGCAGAGCTTTAGAAAACTTCAGATAATGTTTTTTTTGCGCAATGTTTCAACGGTTTTTCAGCTAAAGAGTTAGAAACACCGCAAATACCCTATGATTTATTTTGTAGATGTATTTAGAACTTTGCTTGTTCTCTAATGTGCTAATTTTTAAGAAAAGTTTTGCATACTTTAATTTTTTCTTCAAATTTCCATCTACTCGTTTTCTCATTGTTGAGAATGTCATCAGTAAAACTTGAGCTGTTAGTTGTATGCAGGGTGTTACACAAGTTCGATGTGTTAGCAGGTTGGTTAATTAGGACAAAATTGCGCATTTTAGCCTTTAACAAAATTATGTTTTAAATGTTGGGAAATTAAATTTGCCTATTTGAGACATGTTGGTTCGTTAGAGCCGTCACTTAGGCGTGCTTCTATGTAGTAGGAGCCACATTCGTTAGAAACTGGTCAGTTTTAGGGGCTTTTAGGCCGACCAAGGGAGAATGTGGAGAGTTTGTACCCTACATGAGCTCTTGCCAAGGGGAAGAGTGTGGAAGGTTTCAAGAAACAAACTGTATTGGTCAAATCCGATCATAGTTTTAGTGTACACATTCCGGGCATTTGAAAACTACGTTCGAAAGCTTAAAATGTCTCCCTTCTTTCTTGTTTTTTTAATTTTCAAATCGGAAATTTATTGGGATGGCGCCAATTTAAACAGCGAGGAGGTTTCAAAAAATAAACTTCCACTTAATTCGGACCTGCATTGAGCTCGTGCCAACGTGAAGAGTGTGCAGCTTTCCAAAAAACAAACTTTCCCAGTTAAATCTAGCCGCTGTTTCAGTCTGTTTACAAAATTTCCGCATATGAAGATTACGTTTAAAAGCTCAAAATTTCCAGTTTCTTCAGTTTTCGGAAATTTCTGAATCGGACCTTCATCGAGCTCATGCCAAAGTGAAGGGTGTGGAGCGTTTCAAAAAAAAAACTTTCCCAGTTAAATCCAGCCGCTGTTTCAGTCTCTTTACAAAATTTCGGCATTTGAAGATTATATTTGATAACTCAAAACTTCCAGTTTCTTCAGTTTTCGAAAATTTCTGGATCGGACCTGCATGGAGCTGGTGCCAATATAAAAAGTGCGGTGATGGTTTCAAAAATCAAACTTCCCCAGGTAAATCTAGTCGTTGTTTCGGCGTTTTTACAAAATATCCGTATACGAAGATTAAGTTTGATAGCTCAGAATTCCTAATTTCTTCTGGAAGAGCCTGGACGGTTCCGAAAAATCAACTTTCCGGACGTATTAGCCTGTAGCTCCCGCACTTTAGTAAACTTTCCTCAAACTCTACACTTTCTTCGATTTTTTTTTATCTCAAAATCATCGCTTTAATCGGCCCGTTGCAACGTGAAAGGGTCTCGCGGGTTTCTAATTCATTATATCTAACAAAAATTGATTTTTGAAAAATTGAAAGTTGAAAAACGGTAATTTCCGATGTAATTTGGTGGTAGTTTCAACGTATTTACAAATTTTTGGCTGACGAAATCTGGTTTTGTAATCCCAAAATATTTGCTTTCCTTGGTGTTTTCAATTTTCGAAATAGTCGCTTTATTAGGCTCGCTGAAATGTGAGGATTGTGGAAGGCTTCAAAAAACGGACTCTTCCTGCATCATTCGGCTGTAGTTCCGCACTGCCGACATCTGAAACCTGCGTCTAAAAACCGAAGAAGAAAATTATTTCCGACCCTGTATGGATTGACGCATTTCATCTATCAAGAAGGACAATAATTCGGATTCATTTGTGAAGAACTCAGCTACAATTCGGTAAAAAGCAGATGCAAATCAGGTACAGATTTCACGAGGAAACCGACTTAAAAGTTTGTTGAATAGTGCCAGTTCTCCAAAATCGTAGGAAATCTAAGTGCGTTTCCATCATAGATTAACTAAGTAACTGGTTTCCATCATTAAGCAATTGAGAAGATCGCCTTTAAAAGGAAATAGAGGGTCCGCTCATGAACGGGACTCCAAAAGGCATGCGCCAGCCGGATCAATAACAAGACACGAGAGCCCTCATTTCCGTCCGTATTCCCAAACAACGCAGTGTAAGCTGCTAGTGTAATTTTATTCCCGGTTAGTGTTTTTCCAGTCACTACGTCTCATTACAAGATACATCCCAGTCCTGGCATCGCCCGAAACATTTGGGCTTTGCCTCCAGAAACTTCATGTGACATGGCAGCTGACGCTGAAGACCCTTCCGTCTCCGAAGAAGATGACCCGGAGAATGCACACATCGCAGAACAGATCAACAAGGACATCTTTGACTTGCTTAAGATGGGGTAAGGTGGACGAATTACCCATTAATGGACGAACAGCATTGTCAGCAGAGCCTGTTTTTTGCAAATAAATTATAGAAAATTCTCGAAACAGAATGAGTATTCTCGTATTTGAATTACATTTGGTTTGACCGTTTAATTAGTTGCAATTAATGCAGGAATAAATTGTTGACAAAGTGCGTAGGCTGAGGTAAACAAGAGCTGTGGGTAAAACGTGGCGTTTTTTAGTAGAGCCTAATCGACAAAACCCCTGGAACATTAAAAAGCTTCTCAAAAAATGTCTGATAATGGCTCACAAAATCATAACTTTTTCATATCTAGAACGCACCTTAGACTGCAAAAATACAACAAAAAATGATTCTCCACTTTAACTGGTTTCTGAGAAAATAAATGCAAAACTAACACCTGCATAAACAAGCACAAAATTCTATGGCAAATTCAAAAATCTTAAAAATAACCTGATGATTACTCAAAATCTAAAAATTCATACCACAGTTAATCACCAACTTGACTAGATTCTGAGGAAATAACTTTCACATTGCAGTCTGCATAAACAAGCGCAAAACACAAACAAAATTCTTAAAAATTTCTGAAATTTCTTTTAGGAAGGGTCAAAATCGAAGCGTTTTCCATTTCTAGAGCACATCTTGCGTTACGAAGTTTATAGGAAAGGGAATTTTTATCTTTACAGCTTCATGAGCAAAAAATTTGAAACCACAACCTGCTTAAATATCCACGGAAATCACATGCAACTTTTCAAAATATCTGAAAATTGCCTGATGATGACAGATACCTAATCGATCTTTTAACTTCTACTAATGTAAAATAGAGTTGACCCTACAAAATGCATACAACAAGCTGCTCTCTAACCTCTTTGATTCTTCAATAATCCTCGTAAATAAAACGCAATTTTGCAAAATTGTCAAAAAACTCCGACGTACAAAATCCAGACACAAGTTTTAAAAATTCTTGAAAATTGCCTGATGATGATTGACTGAATGAAAAGAGAAAGATTTGGAACTTGTCGAACATCCTTTAACATACAAACTTGATGCAAAAGTGACTCTTACTTTGCAACCTTCTAAGCCAATTAAAACGACTTGCAGACAATTTTCAAAAATATGCAAAAATTACCTGATGCGGACGGAAAAGTCCCCACAAAGTCAAAACTTTGTTCAATATTAAAAGGGACTTTGCATTTGTGTTTTTACTCGCTTTGCCCATAAAATTTGTGATTTTTTCCGTGGCAATAAAGCATATTTTGATTTGATTGATTTGATTTGATAAACTTCGGCCTACAAAAATCAGACACAATCTTTACAAATTTCTGAAAATTGCCAGAAGATGAACAGAGAAACGTATTGTACTTATAGAGCATACTTTGCTGGGTGAACCGGAAGTAAAAGTGACTCTCTAACTTTGCAAGTTATTCACCAGATTTATATAAAACTGCGACCTGCATGAAAAAAACACATCAAAAATGGACTTTGCAGCGTCCCCCGTTACAAAACAAATAAATGTTAAATTCCGGCATACAAAAACAACCGCGAAAACCACACACAATTTTGGGAAATTAATGAAAATTGTCTGAGGCTGATTGAAAAGGGGAACGTCTTTGCCCTACCAACTTGATGTAATAGTAACTCTCCAACTCAGCAACTTTCAGTGCAAATTCATGTCAAACTGCAACCTGAATGTAACTTTGAAAAATTATAGAAAATTGCCTGATTATAACTGAAAATCGAAATTTTGTTCACTAGTAGAAGGAAATTTTTCTTCAAAAAACGAAGCCAAAATTAACTTTTCAGTTTCTCAAGTTATACGAGAAATAGGTCCTAATCTCCGGCTAAAAAAATCAATCACGATTTTGGAAAATCCTTGAAAATGGTCTGAGGAAGACTGAAAATATAAACATTTTGAACAGATCGAACAGAGTTTGGCTTACAAACTGGATGCCAAAGTGACTCTAACGTTGCAACTTCCTAAGCGAATAAGTGTGAATTTACTACCCGCTTAAATATCCGCGAATACCACATGCCGCTGTTCAAAATATTTGAAAAACTCCTAATGATGACAGAGAATCGAAACTTTTAACTTGTACGATTGTAAAATAGACTTGACTCTACAAACTGCATGCAAAAACAACCTCTCCAATCAAACGCATTTTTCAAAATTGTCAAAAATTGCCGGTTGATGACTGAAAACTCAAACTTTGTTTTCTAATAGCTAGAACTTTGCGCTCAAAAATGCATTGCAATGCAATTTTAAACTTATGTAAATAGACATTTCCCGACAAATTTGAGGCAAAAGTGACTGTCTAACGTTGCCACTTTTTGAACAAATTAATGCGAAACTACGGCATGCATGCAACTTTGAAAAAAACTTGAAAATTGCCTGACTTGATCGAAAATCAAAATTTTTAATTTCTTAGACAGACTTTACCGTACAAAATAAATGCAACCGTGACACTATCTTAGTGCGTTAGTTCTTGAATAAATAAAGTGTCAAATTTCAGCATGAAAAAATCATATTTAATTTTGCAAATGTTTGTCAATTTTTTCTTCACTTAAGTGTGAAGTGTACGCATAAGAAACTTTGATATACAAAATGCATTAAAATTGACTTTCACACTTTTCTGATGCAATTTTTAGGGGAAATATATTTTAAGCTCTAACTTGAAAAAACTCTCAGGAAAATCTGACGCAATTTTGAAAATTCTTAGAAATTTCCAAATAATGACACAAATAACATAAGCTTTGACAGCTTTTTAAGCAGAGTTTGCCCTGCAGAAAAACGTACAACAAAAGCTCACTGGGTTTGTTAGTTCTTGAATAAACAAATGTCAAACTCCAGCCTGCAATAAAAAACTTCGAAAGCCAGCAAAAATCGCAGCTTTTAGAACTTTTCATTAAGTCTTTGCCCTGCAAAATACATACAACAGCATAACACTTTTTATTCTTGAGTAAATCAATTCAAAACTCCGGTCTGCTAAAAGATCCTCGTAAACCAAGCGCAATTTTGAAAAATTGTCATAAATTGCCTGATGATAAGATTTTCACCAACTTTGTTCACAAAAAGAAGAGATTTTGCTGCCAAAAACGCATCCAAAATTGAATTTTAAAATTCTCAATTTGCAAAAGAAAGAAATGCTAAACTCCGACGTACAAAAACCAGACACAAGTTTTAAAAAATCTTGAAAATTTCCTGAAGATGACTGACAAGAGAAACCTTTGGAACTTGTGGAACATACTTTACCATACAAACTTGATGCAAAAGTGACTATTATTTTGCAACTTTCTAAGCAAATTAACGTGAAACCACAACCTGCAGTCAAATTTCAAAAATATTGGTAACTACTTGATGATGACTGAAAAGTGCAACGTTGTTCAACAACTTTGAAAATTGTTGCAACAACAAAATAAATGCAATTGTGTCAATGAAGTTCAGTCTTAGTGCGTCAGTTTTTGAATAAATAAATTGTCAAATTTCAGCATGAAAAAAAATCACATTTAATTTTGCAAATGTTTGCCAATTTTTTCTTCACTTGTAAATGTGAAGTGTGAGAGTAAGAAACTTTGATATACAAAATGCATTAAAATTGACTTTCACACTCTTCTGATGCAATTTTTAGAGGAAATATATTTTAAACTGTAACTTGGAAAAACTCCCGAGAAAATCTGCCGCAATTTTGAAAAATTCTTAGAAATTTCCACATGATGACACAAAGAACTGAAGCTTTTACAATTTTTAAGCACAGTTTTCCCTGCAAAAAACTTACAACAAAAGCTCTCTTGGTTTGTTAGTTCTTGAATAAACAAATGTCAAACTCCAGCCTGCATGAAAAAACCACGCAAGACAGACGTATTTTTTTTACGAATACTTTGCTCTGCAAAATACATACAACAGCAGCTCTATAACATTTTTGATTCTTGAATAAATAAGTTCTAAATTCCTTCCTGCAAAAACGTAATTTCCTCGTAAACCAAACGCAATTTTGCAAAATTTTCAAAAATCGCCTGATGATAACTTGTTCACAGACTTTGTTCGTGAAAAGAAGAAGCTTTGCTCCCAAAAACGCATCGTAAATTGCTTTTTCAACTTCTCAATTCGCAAAAGAAATAAGTGCTAAACTTCGGCGTACAACAACCAGACACGATTTTTAAAAATTCTTGACAATTTCCTGAATATGACTGAAAAGAATAACGCTTGCAACTTGTCGAACATTCTCTACCATACAAACTTGATGCAAAAGTGACCCTAACTTGGCAACTTTCTAAGCAAATTAACATGAAACTATACGACCTGCAGACAAATTTCAAAAATAACAAAAAGTATCTGATGGTGACTGAAAATCTAAACTCTGTTCACGACTAAAAGGGATCTTGCAATCAAAAACGCAGCTAAAATTGACATTTCAACTTCCCAAGTTACAGAAAAAATAAATGCTAAACTCTGGCCTACAAAAATCACTAAAAAAAAACAGCACAATTTTAAAAAATTCTTGAAAATTGCCAGACGACTTCTGACACAACTTCTGTTCTGCAACTCTTGAAACTTGTACAACAGAGTATAACTTTTTCACTGCGTTAGTTCCACTGTAAATTAATGCCAAACTCCAGCCTGAAAAAGCATCTCGTACGGAGACGAAATTTTGCAAATTTGTCAAAAATTGTTTAATTTTCTTCACCTAGATTAAGGTACTTTGCTATAGAAAATGTATCAAAATTGACTTTCTGGCTTCGCAAGTTCCAGAGGGAATAAGTTCTAAACCTCCACAAATATGAGATACAATGTTGAAATATTATGGCGAATTGCCTTGAAATTCCACACTAGACTCCGAAACTTTTAAAACAGACTTTGGCCAACAAAATAGGTACAACAGCAACTTTTGTTAGTTCTTGAAGAAATAAATGGAACACTCCAGCCAACGAAAACAACCTGGTAAAGCAAGCGCGTAAAAAATTGCCTAATGCTGACCTAAAATCTAATTTTCTTTACTTATAGAAGGAACTTTTCCTTAACATGTGCCTTCAAACTTAATTTTCTCTCTTCTCATGTCCGATAGCAAATAAATGCTGAAGCAAACGACACCACGAAAATCAGACGCAATTTTTAAAAGCTATCAAAGTTGCCTGATTATAACTCGAGTCGAAACGTTTTCCATTCATAAAACAAACTACGTTCTACTAAACCCGATACAAAAAAATATCTCCAGTTTTCCTAATTTCTGAAGCAAATAGGGCAAAAGCTTGATTATAATCAACTGAAGATCACTTAAAATCTGAACTTTCTTCATTAATAAAATGCACGCACTTTGTCGTAAAGAAATAATGCAATATTCATTCTGATTTAATTAAATCTAGATAGAGTTTTTAGACAGAATAAATAGTTGCCCCTAATACTAAATCTGTTACAAACGTAACAGTGCTGACAACGCTGTGTACAAGCTGTTACAAAGTTCGTTTTAGAGCCACCGTCGAAGTGGAGGCGTATGTGGTGGAGTATGGCGTGGAAGTGCTCTGTGCGAAGGATGAGTGGGGGTACACGCCCGCTCATTGGGTGGCTCTGGACGGCAACGTGGACTTAATGCGGCTGATTATCGACAGTGGGGCGCCTTATGATCAAAACTGTTTGGGCACCCAAGGTCCCAGGCCAATCCATTGGGCATGTAGGAAAGGTAAGCAGCGATTATGTCTTGCCCTTCATTATTTGGTTATTATAAAATTGACTCTACTTGTTACTCTCTTATTTATGGATACACACCGATTTTTTCTTCGTCGGTGAATTCTGGATTAAATGTTACCTTAACAATAAATTAAAGTTAAATAACTTTTAATTCCTCTTACGAGTTAGTGCCGAATTGAATTGAATACATTTATTATAATGAGCAGAATTCCTATAAATGTATTGATTTTTTGACGCAGGTCACACAAAGATAGTGCAACTCCTTCTACAAGCAGGAGTACCAGTAAACTGTGCGGATTTCAAAGGACTTACACCCCTTATGACCGCTTGTATGTTCGGCAAAATAGCCACCGCCGCTTACTTGCTAGGGATGGGCGCCTCCCACCACCTGGTGGACATCAATGGGGACACGGCGATGCATTGGGCGGCCCACAAAGGACACGCGGACATTATTCCACTGTTGGTCAATGCTGGGGCAGACATGCAAAAACGTGACAATTTCGGGTCAACCCCGTTACATCTGGCCTGCCTTTCCGGTAGTGCCGAGTGCGTTGGTTTTTTTTGCTTTAAGGCAAGTTGCAGCTGTTTGGAAGACTCTTACGACTAATTTGAGGGGTGTTTTAGAGCAACGTTGATTTGAATCCGAAGGACAA